TTCAAGGCTAAGATGTCCATATTCTTCTTGAATTTATCAGCTCAGCTTGTATTGTATCTACTTGCTTCTGAAGCTCCCGGATCTATTTGAGCCTCTCCAGACCTGCAGAATCGGATCGTTAGTCATTATCTCCAATTTGTTTTCACTATTATGAAGCACTCGAAATACCTGCTCGGCCATCTCGGCATGCTCATCCCGAGCCGTTGCTCAATCGGCCTGAAGCTTCTCATTGAGAAGCTTGTAGGTGTCACTTTTCTCAATGAGGCCCTGAACCTCAGCCTCGTACTCCTCCCGGATTCGTAGGAAAGTTTTGTGATGCAACACCAAAGCCTGCAAGCAATAAAGAAAATGTTAGGATTATCTACAACTCCAAGTTTAAAAGAAATAATGGAGAGACCCTCGAAGTTACCCGATTCAGAGCATGTTGGTCCTCATTAAACAGGCAAGCGGCTAATGCCGCATTCATCGGTACCAAGCATCTAAGGTATCTAGCAATCCCCATGGGGGGAGGAGAAGACACGGGCATCCTCCGGGACAGAAAGCACTCTATTCCGCCTGCGGTCGGGGTTAACACTTGGGGCCGGGAATCGATCCACCAGTTTTGGCTCGATGAAGACTCAGTAGCGCCCGATGATGGTATTTTCTTCGGCACCGGTAAATCACCAAACCCGGTGACATCCTCCGAGGAAGCAAACTCAAACCCGTCCAAGAAACCATGGATATTAGTCGCCCTATGAAGACCCTCGTAAGAGCGAGCTTCCAACATATTGGAACCTGAGGGGATTCAGAAATATCGATCACTCCGAGCTCGTCCCTTGAGAAATCTTTCACTGCTCGGGAAGCCTCGCCCCCGGTCTCTCTCCCGACCATCTCAACTTGGGGCGGAGTGGCCTCAACTCTTTCTGGTTCAGGAACTTCGGCCAAAGCTCTCTCATCGACCTCTTCGGAGGGCTTTTGTATCGAAACACTAGCCCGCACACGGGCCACCAGCCTAGAATTATCTTCCTCTTCTTCTTCTTCGGACTCATCCCTTAGTCGTGGATCGAGTCCGAAGGCAAAGAATCGGTGTCCCCCTGAGCCTGCGAGACCTCCTCGCCGATCTTTTATTTTCCGAGCCTGGGGAACTTGGAGCCCCTTTCTTTTTCTTCTCTTTGGACTACTTCGGGGTAGGTGGGTAGGGAAGGACTTCTTCACCGTCAGATGGGGGCCTTATTGCAACATCTTTCCCAAGTCCTGAAAAAGAAAAAAATGAGTAAGCTCTAGCCCAAACGATAACCGTTATAAGAAAGAAACTTACCATGATTGCGGGCCTCCCATCGACCCTTCGATAACTCCATCCAAGCACGCTCGGAGTATGGTCTCTATGACACCAGACCTTCGACCCATTTCTTGAGTTCCAGAATTGGGTCTGGCATCTGGGCCATAGCTGTAATACCAGAAAACATAGATGAGGAAAGAAGATAGGAAGTAAAACAACAAAATTGAGCATTCAAGGTGAAGTACTACTTACGATTCATGTTCCACTTCTCAGGAAACGTCACGTCTTCAGCAGGGATCAGGTCTGAAATTCTTATTAAAACAAATCGGCCCATCCAACCTCGGTCCCGAGATTCGTCTATGCTGGAGAATGGGGACCTACTGGCCCGGCGAGCAAGATTGATCAGTTCTCCTCGACAGAGCCGGGGACAGTAAAGTCGCATAAGGTGATCGAGGGTGAAAGGACATCCCTCGATTTTGCTTGTGAAGAATCGGAGAAGAATCACTATTCTCCAGAAGGAAGGATGAATCTGGCCAAGGGTCACATCGTATCTCTTGTAGAAGGCGATAATGATAGGGTCTAAGGGACCCAACGTGAAGGAGTAAGTGTAAACACTTAGAAACCCCTCCACCTGGGTAGTGATCGATTCCTCGGGTGAAGGAACTACTGCATGATTTTTGTCCCAGTTGCATTCCTCTTTAACTTTGTCGAGGATGTCTTCGATGATTGTGCATATGTACCTCGAGATTGGCTCACATCGGCCAGGTACCGAGGAAGTCTTTTCGACCTTAAAATCAGCAATAGTAGAGCACCCTCCCGGAATGAAATACTCAAGGGGATATTCCTCTGCTGCTCAGTCGTCGGCGGGACATGATGAAGAGGCGGCCTCCTTTTTCGGTACAATATTTGAAGTTTTTGCCATTGTAGAAGTAGAAGAAAAAATGAATTAGGATGGTACGCGGATTGCTAAAAGTGCAAGATATTTGGATGCAAGAATTGCGAACCAAAGAAATTTTTGAAGAGAAGCAAAAATAGGGGAAGCTTTGAATGTAAAGTCTTAACAGAGGGAGGTTACAATACCTATAGCTTGTCGGTGACGGTTCAGAACTCATGGTGGCCGACCAGCAACTAACAGGCATTTAATGCCTTGGTAACAGGACCGACGGGACGTTTCGAATTACCGCTTACGTCATGATCGGGTGTACTAGTGATGTTCATCGCTTACGTCATTGCCCATCGAGACGGAGCTGGAAAATTCATATCGTTTCTCGTCATCTTCTTTCCGAGAAACGAGAGGATTATCTGTATACGGTCAAAATCGGGATTGCCCTTCATATGACTAATCGAGACTGGAATATGATAAGCCAAGGTTCAACCTCGTGTTATGTTGAACCATGGTGCAAAGTTAGAGTGCCGAGCTCGTGACCCAGAGGTCGATCAAGATCGATACCGAGCAAGATAGAGATCGAGCAAGATCGAAGGAAGCTTACCGAACCAAATAACGGAAAGCCAAAATATCCGCAATCGGACGAGGATCACGGCGAAATCCCAGCATGTACTAGAAGAGGCCGATTAATTAGCTAATCATGAGATTTCTTACTGTATTTAGAATTGTATCAAGAGTAGGATTCCCTTATAAAAAAGATCTAATCATTTGTAAAACATCATCACATTTAAGCAATACAAAGCAATACACTGCCTTTCTCTAATTCTCATTATCTTGTTACTCTGTTCTTATATTAGCGGAAACTTCACTTGGTTTAAGGGTGATCGAACTCGAGGACTAAGGCTATTCGATTCATCCGGTTTGCATTTATTTCTTTTGCAGTCAATTCCAATATTAATATATTTTTTCTCAATTTGTACCAAGTTATATTATGTATCCTTAAAATCACATATAAATTCAATTGTTATACATTATTTGAGTAAACATTGTGTCACCAAATTCAATAGCTAGCCTATACGTAAGGACAATGATATGGCTACGATCGCTATTGTATACATATCGAAGAGATGCAACAAAGTATTCAGATCATTAGGTAATTTTTTTGATCAAATGTCTAGTAATGTATATTTAATCAATCAATTAATTCATCATGATAGAGAAGAAAAAAGGTACACGGACCATATTCGAGCCATCTAGTTTTTTGAATATTCAATTGTAAAATTTCCTGATGAGAAAATGTCAAATCATGTAACTTTCTTAAATCGTAATTAAAAGGGCTCATCCACTAAACGAACACCACCTACGTTCGCGGAATGACAAGATAAGGAGAAGACAATATCGTAAAATTGGCATGGGCTAGCCAGTTTTCGAATTGATCATTCAAAAATAGTCAATATTTGCAAAGTTATTAAAAAATAGCCATTATTTTGCTGTAACACGGAAAGTTCAAGCATAATATACTAGAGATCGGTGCACCTGTGTATGAACTTCCAGTATATTATGCTGGAACTCTAACACACTGAAAGTTCCAGTACATTATACTGGAGATTGGAGTAACGGTACTCCAATCTCCAGTATATTATGCTGGACCGGTATATTATATCGGAACTCCAGTATAATAAACTTATACTGGAATTCCATTATATTATACTGGAGTATTTTTTCGGATTTTGAATAGTATTTTCGTTCAGATTTATCATTACATGAAAAGTAGCTAAATTTCAATTACTTTTGAAACTGTAGCTATTTTTGAATGATCACTTGTAAATTTGACTATTTTTGAATTTCTTCCGACAATATTGAGTCCCCTTTCTCCCAATTCTAAGGGCCCACGTTTGGCCATATAAAAAAATTCACTTTTTTCAGAACTTTTTTTTTCGAATCGACCATAAAATTTTCAAATTTAACTTAAAGTTAAATTTTAGAATTTTTCGAAAATTTGAAAAACTCCAAAAAGTTATTTTTTAAATTTTTTACTTCAAATCACTCACAAAAATTTAAAAACAACTTCAAATGTATTCATGTCCAAAGTAGCTCCAATTTTCAAATATCATTTTTACTTGAATTTTTTTTTCACTTTTTTCTAAAATTTCACTATTCTTATATCCATACGCCCACTAAATTGTATAATATCACATGTGTTTGTCAGCAAAAACTATTGTTCTAAGTCCAGAATATTTAAATGAAGATGCATCTGATAACCCTTGACAAACTTCATGCTGTATTTGAATGTTATTATTGCTATATGAAAAAACATGCTAAATCGATAATTTTCAAATTTTCGTAGATATTAAATCATTAATTTTGAATGTCCTTGCATGTATAAAGGATTAGATGTTTTGTATTTCTGACATAATATATGAAATTTGCAAGAAAAGATATTTGTGATATTTGATTGGTAGCGTTAATGCTAACTATTCGGTTCGGCTGAAACATTTATCATGTGTTTTGTAATAAAATTCAAATTAACTATTTGCTTTCGAATTTAAATCATTCTTACGCTTTGTAATAAAATAATTTCACTCTTACTGTTTAAACTTAATTAGGATGTTTTATTCCTGAAAACAGTCTCTCTACCCTTCAGGATAGGGATAAGGTCTGCGTACATATTACCCTTTCCAGATCCCACTAGCGGGATTATACTGGGTCGTTGTTATTGTTGTACACTATAAATATAATAAGCAAATCAAATTAATATCTAAGAAATTATATCAATCAAATATGTCGTGAGTACAAAATAATAATGAATAATTAATTTAACTTCGGGGTGAAATAGAAAAACACAATTTATTAAAGGTAGAGCATTGAAAATTAAACAAAGATTCATTTAACTGTCTTCTCTGTTCTGTCACCTAACGCCACACGGAATACAACGAAGAGACAGTGAAGAAACAACGAAAAGTAATCAAATTCTACCAGCGAAGGTCACACTCTAAATCTTTTTTTTTTTTCCGTATTTTTATTTGATTTTTCTGTTCAAAATCCAATCTTTATACTAAGCTAGGGTTTATTTTTTGGCATAATTTCGGTACAAAATGTTAGCTCTTGATTTTGCTAAATTTAGAAATTGAAGTCCAGAATCTGAAATTCTCAATTTCTCATGTATTAATTTAAAAGGAAATGGATTCAGATCGGTTCATATGATGTTTTAAGTAAACCCCATGTCTATAATTTTTTTTTTTTTTAGTATTTATGTTAGAGTTGTATGTATGTTTTGATGGATTTAGCTTGAAGTTTCAGTAAGGAAAATATAAAGTTCAAATATTTTTGGGGTTTTTAATTTTCTGTAGTTATCAAGTCCATTTAAAATTTAAAAATGGGATTTTGCTGCATCTGAAGTGCGACTGATTCAATAAATATGTGAAAATGAAGCAAAATTATAAAGAAATAAATGGGTAAAAGAAATTTAGTTTCTTGTTGTCGTTTCAGATTGTTTGTATTGGTTTGTTTTTGTAAGCTCGGTGGAGTGCATTTTAATTGTGTATTTACTTTTTGAAAATTCAGAGATAATACTTGAAAGTCGTAAGCCTCATGGCGAAGATAAAACCACAAGCTCTTCTATTGCAAAGCAAAAAGAAGAAGGGGCCAAGTCGTGTTAGTATCCCTACGATCATGCTATATGGCGTGATTGTTGCTGTCATGGTGTTTTTCCTGTTTGCTACTTATAGACACTGGTCTCGGAGGTTTGTGAAAATCCTCTCTTGAGTACTTTCTATTTTTGCTGTATCTGTTTTAAATCTTGTTTTATCTGCTTGTAGAGTCTAAATTTGTGATTTATTAGTAGTTTTATTGATATGTCGAGTTTGTTGTTTGGTTTAGATTTTACATGTGGAAAACAAGCTGAAAGAGAGATAACCCATGTTGTGCGGACTCTCCAAAATGCTGCCGCACCCATGTCGGATCCTCCAAAATACACCACTTTTGGAGGATCCGGCACGTACCTGGAGATATTTTCGAAGAGTCCGAGCAACATAGGGTACAACTATAAGAAAATACTACCGACATTTAGGGAGAAAAAATAAATGTCTTGTCCGCTTTTTATTAACGTTTAACTAATCTGATGTCCAAATAACCCCAATATGCATTACACCTAAATGACTCAGGAGATTTTGTCCTTTTAGTGAGCGGATTGGAGGATGTACCGACATTTATGAATGGTGGGATAAGTTGTGCATTACAGGGTCTGAAGATCATGACATACCAGGGTTCAATTCCAACTAACGTAAAAAAAAAAAAAGTTAATTCCCATCTGTCTAAGCGTATGTACTATGGGAGGATGCAAGTATCCAGTGTAATAGTTTGAGGCGCGCACAAATGATTTGAATATGACTGTTACAAAAATAAAAGTAATAATAAAGTAAAAATTGACAAAATCAAATTTTGTTTGGATAGTGCTTACATGTGTTCCTCTTATATATATGGAAATGAATTTATTGTTTATATGATCATATGCAAGATAATGGAATTAATAATATGGATCATCTCTATATCTGGACAGACAAGACTAGTTTTTAATAGACTGAGTAATGGCTTGTTATGTAAATTAGACAGAGTTGATCTTTATCATCCAAAGGTCTGCTGTTTTCCTTGAAATCCAAGAATGGGTGGAAAAGAAGAAAAGCTGTGCAACTGGTCTAACTTCCCTAAGCCCCATGCGTCCGAACCACCTCTAGAAAAAACTTTTCTTTGATGCCTCTGTTTGTCCATCTTTTTTCCTTCTCTCATGCAGTTTCCTCATTTTCTAAAAACATGACGGCAGCTCATGTGAAGCTTGAAGCTTTATGGAGGCATCCATATTAGTAAGAATCTGTAGTCATAAGAATACAATGATAGAACTAGTGCTGGTGATGAGCTGTGAGGCTACTTTTGTTCTGACACCAAGGTTTTCTGATAGTGTTTTAGTTTTGATTATGGTTTGCTGTTAATGATCACTTTGATAATGGTTTTCATGATGATGCGTAAATCAGTATATGCTCTCTAACAAGGAATTGATTATATCTGATGTTGAAAAATGAATTGTGATAAATAACATGTCACGGAGAGAACTAAATATGCTACTTAAACTCATTATGGTATGAATCTTTTGAATCTACTGATATTGGTGTTGTGCTGTATGAAATTTATGAGCTACATATTTAGTGTCATTATTTGATTGCTAACTGGTGTTGTTGTTTTTTCATGTTTTTTTTGGGGGGGGTGGATTCAACATGAAAGGTTGTATATGTAAACATGTGATTCCGTGTCATGTACCGTTACATTCGAAACTTCCGCTTTATAAAAAAAAAACATAAGTAACTAAAAGGCAAAGGTCCAATTTTGTCCTTGAACTATGCAAAATGGTCCAGATTTTCCATCCATTAATAGTTGGGGTTAGATCTATCCTTGCTGTTATAACAATGGGCTACATTTGTCCTTGTTGAATAACAATCAACTGTTAAGACTAATACACCATCAGTGCATAGTCAGCTCCTTCTTCCATTCATAACAGAATAGCAATCATTTTCACTTTTATCTCCATGCACTCACCTCTCGGCCATACTAATTCTATTGTCGGTACCACCTCTAATTCATAAAAGTTCACACTTAACAGTTTCACCTTGGTTTCATCTCCGCTAGTACCACCGAAATTCTATGCATTTCACTCCCTCTACACAAACTCAAAAGCTCCATCATCTGTAGATTTTGAAAATTCCTGAAACTATCAGCCAATTTTACCTGGGATGATTCACAGAGGATGACTTTAACAAAGTTGTAAAGGTTGATTTAACTGTAGGTGGGGGAAGTTCATGGGTACTTTTTGTCAAATTGGTATTAAAATTAGTTGGGCTTTGAAATTGGCAATGAATAGCAACTCCAATAGAATTGGAGACTGAAGCATTTTGATTGATTTGTCGATTAAGAGTGTTTGGCCTGTCAAAGTTTGTTAATAATTTAGGAAATGAAGGGGTTTGGTTTTCTGGGTGTTTTAACAGTTCAAAATCGGGCCACCATTGCCGTCAATGAGCTCAACACCGGAATTCATAAGACCTTGATTCGTCCCAACTGGTCTAAATTTGCACTGCTGGGAATAGTCTTAATAGTTGACCATTAGTAAACAAGGGCAAATCTAGCCCATTTTGGTACGGCAAGGGTTGATTTGACCCCAACTATTAACGGAGGGCAAATCTAGACCATTTTGCATAAAAGTAAAAAGAAGAAAATGTTTGAGTCTGACATATGAAACCTTCGAACTCCAGGATACTGTCCTGGAGTTTTAATTTACAAAGACTGAAATCCAGAAACGCTTTAAGTTACAAAACTGAACTCTAGGACACTATCATTAATGCTATGCTAAATCGGCAGTTGGATGTGTAAAGGTGTTGCACTTGCTTTTGGTATTGGTAGCAAGGAATTGGTTTGGTTTCTTGGTGGCTAGGAAAGGAGGATGTGAACTTTACACAAGGAGATATTTAAAATTTTATGGATAGTGTTCTGCAAGAGCAAAATTTTAGTAATTCATTTTCTTGAAAAGGTGGACGTTTTTCAGCTTCTCACTGCAAGCTAAAATGTATGTCCCCACGCATTCTTCCGTTTGACCCCTCCTTATCCTGATATTAGCGATCCTTGCCTTAGTTTGGTCTCTTCACAAATGTAGTTCTTAATGGTTCATGCTCTCGTATAATATTCAGGAAAAATTAGTATCTTAAAAGCCCCATTATTAAGTCAAAAGTAACTCTTCATGCGGAAATCTCCAAAATATGCACATTTTCTGACTGAATGCAGTTATCACCCAACTCTTTTGCACTTGTGTCATGAACAAATTGAGACATGTAACTTTTTAAACTAATTTATGAGACACTGCAAGCCTATAGATCATTTCTTAAGTACCTTACAATGACAGCTACTACCTCAATCCCAAAAGCGAGTTGGGACAGGCTTTATTAATCCAAACTGATCTAACACTTGTTAATTTCCTTCTAGGTCAATAATTCAGACACATGATGACTTGTTGACCTCTGAGGTATGAATTACTGCCAATTTCTGTTCTTGCTTGATGATAAATTGTTTTGGCCATTAGGGGTTGATTTGCTTGTAGCTTTTGATGGTCTGTGTTGGGATACTTGTGACTGTAAAAATTGCATTTGTCACAGTTAAAAGTTTCTATGACATGGAATTCTTGCGGAGTAGACCTTGTTGTTATGAGAATTTCGTAATTCATGACTTGTAGGAGGGCTTCATTTTCTGTCTCATTGGGATGGGGAATTTGTAACCCCCTATTTAGACTTTTTGGACTTCCATCTTTCTGAATTGATGTCACAATTCTCGCTACAAGACTATCCGGGTTCAAACAAGAATTGGGAATCAGATGCAGGCGAAATTCCTGGTTCTTAATACATATTTCTGTTTGCATGATGCAGGGTGAAAATTCTTTTATTGAGCATAAGGAATCTGATGCCCCTAAATATGCGGTGAGTTTACAGAAACTTTCTTCTGCTGCATTTTATCTGGAAAGTGATTGCACTTGTGATTTCAATGTCAATTTTGTTCAAGTATTACAATACTGGTTCTTATAGTATATCAGAAGTTTGTATACATAAGTATGGCAAGGTATCCCTTCCATTAGCCTTTTGTAGTTCCCTTGTTCCTACTTCTAGCACGTACTGTTCCCAAAGCTTATGATTAACTTCAAATATTGACTAGTTGGTTTGATACGAGGAAATTTCCTTTTTGAGACCTCTTTAGGCAAATAACAGTTTACTACTGTTTCATTTCTTTTACAAGTTCTATTCTTTTGTTTATTTTGGGTACAATTGGAGAATTCACTACCCAATTTGATTGTTTGGCTTTCTATTTACTTATATTTTCCCCTTTGTTGACTCTTTTAATCTTTGACAGTTCATATCCACCTCAAAAGGATCGATAACCGTGGAACTTTACAAAGATGGTTCTCCTGACATTGTTGACGAATTTGTTGATTTCTGGTGCGTACTTGGTTTACTTTTGTTTATGTCTAGGGTAATTTCCATTGAAATTATGTGTTGGATTTGTATTCGCGTTACCTTAAGCTATTTCTTCACTCTGCAGTGGTGGTTACTGGGGTTGGGAGTGAGTGTGTCTAGAAGCATGCGTGTATATTGGTTTTACATTTGAGGCTGATGAAATGATGTAGAGCTTATTTCTTAACTCCCCACCCTTCATATGAACCTCAAGTTTTCAAACTTTGATCTCCATAAGTGGGCTTCTCAAAGGTTTTTCCTCCTCTTAAGAAGGCATAAACTGTTCATCTTCTTTGTTATCCGAAAGAGAACCTTTAAGGCTATGAACGGTAATTTCAGTGTCACAATTATCAATCAGTGAATACTAAAACACCGCATCATGTAGATGAGTAAATCCAGAATCTAGGAAAATGTTCTGGGTGAAGATATGTCATGCTAATTCGCTAGTGCTTCACATGGTATAGGCCGTGCAGTTGGCACTTTGAGACTTGTTGGCACTGATACATGTTGCTTTATATAATGAGTTGATTGGTTTAGTGTCATAGTTGTTTGCCCTATGCATTGTTTGAAGGATTTCTTGCATTTCTTAGCTAGAATGATAAACTTTACAAAATGCCTTTGCAGTCAGAAAGGCCACTTCAAAGGGATGCAATTTAATCGTGTAATAAAGCACTTTGTTATCCATGGTAGTAAAGTTGATAAACTTGACGCTACAGAAGATTGGACTTCGAGGGGAAAGCATTACAGTCGACTAGACACGAGGTTTGCCTCATCTTATTTGCTGTTTTTCGTTTATTGATCTGTAAACAAGTCTTGATAACTAACTGTTTGATTGATCACTAAGTTATGATTCTCTATATTCAGCCTGAAGCATGAAGCTTTTATGCTTGGTACTTCAAAAACAAAACATGAAGGTGGAGGATTTGATCTGTTTATAACGACTGCTCCAATCCCAGATCTGAATGACAAGATCAATGTATTTGGGCGTGTGATAAAGGGAGAAGATATTGTGCAGGTATGAGTTACTTTTCCTTTTCCTATCAGGTGTTGCATAGAGTACGATGATGTTTGCATTTGATGTTTCACTGCCTTGTCATATCATTTAGCATTTATCAGTAATCCAAGTCCGGAGCAGTGTGCATATGGTTTCTTACCTTTTCATCAGGAAAAAAGAAAAAAGAACAGTGTGGATGTGGTAGATGCATCCCCTGAGCAGTTGGACGATTATATTCATCGTACAGCTTGAGCAAGAAAACGAATAACCAAATGAAATTAATCCATAAGTATAACATTGTTATTAAAAACACTTAGTATAAGTTGGCGTTTGTACAATGTAAAAGCAGTGAACTATGGAGCAAAGGATGGGTGAGAAAACGAAGAACGAAAAACTAAATATGCAATTCGAGTTTGGTTGCCTATTTCATTTACAAATTTTGTAATGTGATTTCTCTCTTCTATCTTTCTTTTGCGCTCCTTTAATGTGCATGTTTTTTAATGATTACTTAGGAAATTGAAGAGGTAGATACAGATGACCATTATCGACCCAAAACTCCTGTTCGGATCAATGAAGTTACTCTAAAATACAACATTTGAAGCCTGCAGTGTCCATAATATGATGTTCTTAAACCTCATTGATCAAAGTCTGCAGTGAAAACGTGGATTTGCAATATGGGTACAGCGACAGAAACCATCTTGCTGATTTTAATTCCTCAGTAGTGACATGACGCGGCTTGTCATTGATGCTTGTTGTGTAAAAATCTTGATATGATATTCCATTTGTATAACTTTTTTTGTTTTTTCCCAATTTTTCCCCTTAGATAAATGTTCGGCAGCTCTCTGTTATTTTATAACGTAGTATGTTGAGAGGAAAACTATCTTAACTTGAATATAATCAGAGACACAACTTTACCCGAGAAAAGTATGTTCTTTAACTTGAATATATAAAGAAATGTTGTACATTAGGTGTTCTGGATTGCGTTTGACAAGTTCTTGATCTTAGAGAATTGCATATTTTTAGTTGCTTGCAAAAATAATAGCCAATAAAATGTATGTTTTTTTATATATGTGTGTGTTATATATATATATATATATATATGGAGTACATATTTTAGCTAGCGAATGCAATTCAGCCATTTTTTTAAATTGCCCTTGATTTTACTACCTATTTAAAGTGGCAGCTGCAAATGCTTAATGGGCCTTCCTGCACTGTATATCGAGTCAAACTTAAACTTTGTGACTATTTATTGTTTGCTTGTTTAGCGTTTTTCTAGTAAAAATAGCACGGTATAGCCAGTTTTCGGATTGGTCATTCAAAAATAGCCAGTGTTTATGAAGTCAATGAAAAATAGCCACTATTTTACTGCAACAGAGATCGGTCCAGCATAATATACTGGAGTTCGGTGCACCTGTGTATGAACTCCAGCATATTATACTGGAGTTCCAGCGTAAGTATGCTTGAACTCCAGCATATTATGCTGGACCGGTATACTTTGCTGACTCCAGTATAATATACTGGAGTTTGGAGCACCGGTGCTCCAAACTCCAGTATATTATACTGGACAATTATACTTGCTGGAACTCTAGTATATTATGCTGGAGTTCTAGTGTACTTATGCTGGAGTTTCAGCATACTTATCCTGGAACTTCAGTATAATATGCTGGAGTTCAAGCATACTTACGCTGGAACTCCAGTATACTATACTGGCATATTTTTCGGGTTTCGAACAGTATTTTAGCTCAGATTTATCTTTACATGAAAAGTGGCTAAATTTCGATTACTTTTGAAACTTGGCTATTTTTGAACGATCGGTTGTAAATCTGGCTATTTTTGAATTTCTCCCGTTTTTCTAATATTATTTGGCTAGCTTGTGCACACTTAAGTCATCTTTCTAGTTAATCAGAAGTCTGGGATTCGAGTTAGGAGAATGAAAAAGATCCTGGTAAGGAGCGTCTTTCTTTAATAGGCCTTTATACGGTGTGAATCTATATTAATTGGGTATCAAGCCGGGTACCGAGAGAAACTAAAAAAAGGGACATCTATATGGAGATTAAGGAATTCAATAGAGCAAAAATTCTCATGGCCTGACTTGATGAAAATTAGTATCGAACCTAACTTACAAGTAAACGCTTATTATTGTAATCAGCTCATGTATTACCACCTCTATATATTGATGGTTCTCTATTCCTAGTCATTAATCTACTTTACAACATGCAGATCTTATAAGTTATCCAATTTGACAACGATTTATTGAGTGGTTAGTTATTAACTTCTTTTTATTTATAACAATGGTGTCTAGGTTAGCTTTCGCACTTTAATTATTTCGCTAGATATCTGTTACTTTTCACTTGTACATGCAATTGAATAAACTTATCCACCAAAACTTAGGTAAAAAAAAAAATCAATTTGCAGGAATTTGAACCTCGATTCGATAGTTTTCACTCAATTCATTGAGTACTAATCACCCATTAGGCACAGTCAGAGGCGGGCCTATGTTGTAAAGATAGGGATCACCAACACTCAGAAAATTCGGCAAGAATTCTATATATATTTGTATATGTCTTTAAAAAATAATAATATATTAATAGAAACACCTTATATATAAAACAGATTTGAGTTGAATGCAAAAGTGCGCCCACGACCTTCAAATTCTGGATCGCCGGCCTCTGTCATTTATCTACATCGTTGGCCTCATTATGTTATGGAGTTCTTTTTTTTTTGTCAATATGAAAAAGCAGACAGTGACAAGGGGATTGATCAAGACAAATCCACAATACCACGGTTTAGGAAAATTAACAAAGAAAAACAAAAAGAGGAACGAGAGTTTACAAAAGTAAGAATATATCAACATCATACATTAATATATTGAAAGCTTTGGCCCCCTTTCCAACAAGTAGCAATCCCAACCCAGAAAAATACTTTTTAAGAGATAAGAACATGCAAGAAAAAAAGCAAAGATTATCCTAATTCCACGATGAAAGGTAGAGGATATATTATACTTCATTATATAAGAATGCTTACAAAGAAAATCTTCCCAAATTGAGAACCATTGGAAATTTTGAATTTTTACCTATTAAATAAAGCAAATATACGACTAATCTTGGCTATGATATGGACTAATAAGTCAGGATTGAAGTTGATGGAAGATAGCAAGTAAACGATGAAATAGTCAAGGTACAAGCGCAAACTGACCCGAAAACTATCACTTAAAAAAAGAGAAACCAAAGGTTATGTGATTCCTTTACATCAGCATCAAGTTCGAGTTAGCATAAATCACATGATGTTAATTTATGTAATTTATTGTTGAGAAAAAATATTGTTGAGAAGTTGTGTTTAAATTTATGTAATTTCGGGAGATTTTAATAGTCCAGTTGATTGGTTATATGAACTTTTATATTGTTAGAATGTTAGTGAAAATTTGATTTTCCACCTTGTAATCACCTTCGCATTTCCTCTTTTCCTTCCCCTTTTTATAATACAAAAAATTAAAAAGTCTATGCAATTTCTAGCTCATGTTCAACACTTCTTTAGTTAAATTCATGCACACACTACTTAGAGAGAGATTATGAAGTGACAGCAAACTAAACTAGGTGGAAAACAAAAAAGAGCCCTCTGTTTTTAAAGGAATAGAGACTTTGATTTCTATGTACAGTTTCTAAAAACTTGTGTCCCAAAATGGGAAACAATAGAAAATGCACGTCACATATTCATGTTTATAAAAAGCACATGAATTTACTATGATTAAGTAACAAATTAGTTAAGAATCCATGTTAATTAGCTAGTTAAATAATATAAAAGTGTATATAGAAGATGCACGTCATATATTTATTTTGGTGCACATACCTGTATGGGTCGAAATTTGGTCACCACGATCGTTACCGAGTAGGATGAGGAACGAGGTTATCGTGATGCACCGTCTGATGGTTGTCATGGTGAAAGGCAACGACCAAGGGCGGTCAGTCGATGCATGGCGTCCACTATAGTGTAAACTTAATAGGAGACAGTAAGAATATGCCTTTCGAATATTCTCTATGTTGTACTTTTTAGAGTTTCTTGGGAGATTGCCCCTTATAAATAGGAAGATTGAGTAAAGAAAAGGGGGCACGGGAAAAAAGACAAAAGAATACTTTGTAAAAGAATCCTATGATAGTGAATACAAAAGCAGTCTTGTTCATTGATTGCAGAAAAAAAGTTTATATCATTGCACAATATAGAGAAGATCCAAAGATTCTACAATCATCTCATATTTATTCCTTCCCTACGCCGATTGCATCTACTAAGATTGATTATGCATTTAAGTCTTCACATTTATGGGCATTTATTTGATTCCAACATATTTGTTACATCATTCATCTTATGTTCTTCTTATATCGCTTGATCTAGATTTTATTGAGCTTGACTAAGATTGGCCTCACCATTTTCATTAATTGTTTTAATCTAAAAGGTTTTGACATCTTTTGGTCAAACAATTTAGCGTCGTTTGTGGGGACATCTTTAGTTTAGATCTCAGTTTCATCTAGATCATAGAAAGGGATAGTCACCTTTTTCTAGCTTTGCACAAACTAACAATGGCAGGAAAAGGAGATGCAAGGTTAAAAGCAATAGCAGGTGTCACAACCAACATCCTGAACACTATCAATAAAGACAGCAGGAAAGATAGCGAAAACGTGACACCAAACGCTACACCTAGGGGAGACGCTTCACCTCCCCCGCATGAAAGCGTAACTGCTTCGCGCGAAAAAGAAGCCTCCACGTCTACAACAGGAGAGGCACCACCGGCCGTAAGAAGACTACTGGAAAAATGGCTAACAAGCACTCTGAACAATATACTTGATAAACCCGTCCAAAGGGATAATAGAGACATTGCACATGTAGATGTCACGACGATCGCTGACAAACAAGATGTCCCCCGCACAGGTAACACTCATGCTACTGTTGACGCAGGTAATGACACGCTCGCAACCGTTCTAAAGAAAATGGAGGAAATGAAAAATGAGTATAAGGCACTTCCTGACCAGATGAAGGAGCACCAGGAAAGGGTCGACAAAATACCAGGCGCCCCAAAGTTGTTACCAAAATGGGACGTTGGTCGATTCATCGAGCAACCATACAATAAGGAAGCAACCCCCTCATGCCATTCCAAAAACCTTCAAAATGCCACCATACTTGAAGATATATGACGGTACTACAGACCCAGAAGATCATATCATCCACTATGTCACAATCATAAAAGGTAATGATCTTTCGAAAGAACAGGTACCATCGATGCTACTGAAAAAGTTCGGCGAAACCCTAATAGGGGGAGCCTTGACCTGGTACTCACAACTACGAGCACGGTCAATAGCAACATTCGAAGAAATGGCGGAAAAGTTTGTTAACGCTCATGCAGGAGCTAAAAAGACAGAAGCCAGGGTAAACAACATATTTGCCGTCAGGCAGATGCACGGCGAGGAGCTCAGGGACTTCCCGGTTCAATAGGGTGAGAATGAGCTTGCCAAATATGTTATAGGGAATGAGCTTGCCAAAGGAGTTCAAATCAAACCAAAATAAAGAACTTCAGAATAAAATAGTCAAGGGCTTAATTAAGGAAAGTATCATGTAAAGAATCAACGGTCAAATAAGGCAAGAACGATTAGTTAGGGTCATAAACATGGAAACAACCAAGAATCATGCACACGAATTTTAATGGAGCAAATCACTCAACAATTATGGAAAGAACGTACCAATTCCCACAAACAAATAGGTTGAGTAAAGCTTTTAGGAACACAGAAATTAGACAGAAAATAATTCTAAACCCTAATTTGAAAACACTTAAAAAAGAAAAACTTGAAAGCATGTCAACACACAGAGATTCGAACAAACAGAAATCATAGAAGTCAAAACCTGAATTATCGTAGTGTTTAAAAATCGGATAGTAGTAA